AATTGCCTTTTTATCTTGGTGCTCAGAGGTACTTTAAGAGAAAATGGGATTTGGGACAATGCAGAGGTGAGGAAAGGGTGTCATCCTGCTTTTAGAGATGAGGAGGGTGAGGCAGACACAGTTTCTGCAAAGCCACCTGAGCAGTTTTGAGATTAAGTCCTTGTTCCCTTGTGTTCAGAGAGAGAAAAGGAGCTTTGCGAGGGTAACCCCATGGGCGTGGTCAGGAGTGTTCCAACCGCCCAAACTACACTTCCTGACACAGAGCTGTGAGCCCAGCGTTCTTCGTCCCCCAGAGCCCCACCTGGCTGTGACTTTCTGGGCTGGAGAAAGCGGAGTTCTTGACGTAGCCAAGTTATGTTCATTTCTTTTTGCTCAAAATGTTCCCCCTCCTTTTTTTGAAACCAATGAGAGACAAGTAGTATCATTTTCCCCATAGCAACAGCTGTATTTTTTTTTTTATCATCATCCACTCTTTTTTTCTTCCTTGAGTTTTGCCACTGTCCTGTTAAAAAAAATGTTCAATGTTACGCCTAATTTTCTATTTTTGTCAAGATGGAATTTCTCAGCTGAGTCATCAAGGCCCTATCCCAAATTTTGAATCACTGATATTTTCCTTAACTAGGTTCCGAATCAGATATTCCACTGGAGTCGGGTTTTTCTGTTTGTCCCTTCGCTTGCTGCTTCTTCAAGGTTCTGTAAGCAGCAATAAAGCACTGTTCAAAAGCTAATGCTATTGTACTACTTTCACGTCTCCTTACCTAAGCTTTTTGATGTGCAGCTGGAATAATATTCATCTAGAATAATCTTCTCTTCTGTCTTCTACCATTAAGCCTGACTTATGAAATATGACTCAAATCTTGCTTGCTGAAGCCCATATTGATTAAACCCAAACACCACATCGGTTCCTTCACCTAGCTCTCGTCATCCAGATACTTGGGGATCTAGCTACTATCAGGAGATAGTAGAGTACAGAGGTTAAGCACATGGATTCCACTGCCAGACTTCCTGGGTTCAAATCCCAACCTCACGAAGTCACTTTAGACCTTTGTGTCTCGTTTTTTTTTTTTTTAATCTGCAAAACAAATACATAAAATTAGTTCCTTCTTCCTAGGGCTATTGTGTAAATTAAAGGAATTGATGACTACAAAGCTCTTAGAATACTATCTGCCATATATTAAGCACTCTTTAAATGTTAGCTTTTGTTGTATTTTCACTTGCTAATACAAGGTTTTCCACTGGCTGTAACATTGCCAATATGCTGCTATATCTTCCCTATTAGTTTGTTTGCTTTCTGTTCTCCTCTGGAATACTGGGTGAACACTGATCTTTCAATTTCTTTTATCCCCTCCCATTCCTTTCTTCCAAACATAGAGTTCCTAAACACAACTCCCACTTAGTTTTTCTAAGGGTTGGGCATCTTTCAACCTCAGAGCTGGCACTTGACAACAGCAGTCAGCATCTAACACTAGGATTCTGTACTATCCCTGAGTCAAAAGCCTGCTCCTGGAGTCTCAAACCAGCTCTAGCTCCTGGGACCCAAAAGCCAGAGGTGTGTGCAGCCATGTTGCCACCTTGTGGCCATGCTTGGGATAGGCCGCCCCCAGTGTCCTGGGAAAAAGCATTCTCTCTTCCACCCTTGACCACCTACCATGCCCCACCCCTTTGACCATTTCCTTTATGGACAAATGGCATTTGCTTCAATTCTCTTGTTTCTTTATAGTACATATGGCCCTTTTTCTTTCTCTTTGTAAATGGGCCAAGTGAGATATTGAAGGAACAGCTACTAAAGCCTACATTGGTCTACCATGACTTCCTAGAAACCTGAACTTTGGCCTAGACCTCTCTACTAACCAAAAAGAAAAAAAGAAAAGAAAACCAAATTCACTGCCATCAAGTTGATTCCAACCCATAGCAAACCCCCTTTGGATTTCTGAGGCAGAAAATCTTCACGAAAGTAGATTGCCCAGTCCTCCTTCTGTGAGTGGCTGGTGGGTTTGAACTGCCAGCCTTCTGGTTAGCAATCAAATGCCTTAGGCACTATGCCACCAGAATTCTGCTTGTGCCAAAGTCATCATAATAAATCCTTTTCTTTAGGGTATGTGTCTATTCTTTAAGGTTCTTTTTTCTTTTCAGGGAAAAAAAAAATGTATATATATTTTTCTGGTACTGAAACAAACCCAAACAAACCATACCCACTCTCATCAAGCTATTTCTGACTCATAGTGACCCTATAAGCAGAATAGAACTGCCCCATAGGATTTCCAAGACTATATAAAGCATTACAGAAGCAGACTGCCTCATCTTTCTCCCTCAGAGCAGCTAGTGGGTTCAAACTACTGACCTTTTGATTAGTAGTTGAATGTCTTAACCATCGCACCACTAGAGAGTTCTATCGAAGAAAAGAATAGTTAACATGAAAGCCACATTTACATTACTTTTGCCTTCTTTGCAAGAGGTCATTAGTATTTGAGTGAACCATAAAAAGGTTGCTAATATTTACCACTTTGATACACAAAACCGGTAGTTTCGTACAGTTCAACTTAACATACACTTACTGGTTTGCTTTCATTTTACTGCACTCAAACCACAGTGGTCCAGTCTCCTCTTAGTTTAACTTTGAAATGAGACCCATATGGGAGCAGTAAGCAGTATTTCTTGCCAGAAGACAAAGCAACTTAATTCCCCTGGGTTGAATGTTATTCCTTTCTCTTAAACATCAAAACCTATTTGTTTATTGCAAATCTAAACTGATTTTATGGAACAGATGTCATGTCTATGATGAAGCTTGGCAGCTCCAATGCTGGAATCACTTAGTCTTTTTAATGCAAGTTTGTTTTATTTTTCAGTCTTCACATACAATGCTGCCAACAAGGAAACCTGCGAACAAAACCACAGACAGTGTTCGCAGCATGCCTTCTGCACTGACTACAGCACCGGCTTCTGCTGCCACTGCCAGTCCAGGTTTTATGGAAATGGGAAGCACTGCCTGCCAGAAGGTGATTGGTGTTGGCCTGCTGGGGGCGGGGCCTGCTCTGTGTACATTTCGCTGCTTGCTTGTTTCCAGCTACCTCTGTGAGCTCTGCTTTATTGACCTTGCACCACTGCTACTTAAATCAAAGAGCCAGCAACTTGTAGGTGCTCATGCTCAATGAAAAATGTTTGTAGAATGAACATGTCTAGACTGATTTCCCAATTTCAGGGTTATCCAGAAATTTTTCTTCTTTTTCCCAGCTCATAAGAGCCAAATTTGAGGGAGAAGGGGGAGGAGGGAAGAAAGAGGAAGGCAGACCTGCTTCATAGATGGGTAATTGGTTGGTTTGGGAATTGTTTAAAATGTCTTGTGGAAGAGTGGGTTTTGGGCGTTGTCAGTGGAATTATTTTACTTGTGTGCTCCCACCCAGCTGGGTGATGGCCAAGGGTGGCTGTATTTGTTGCTGTTTAGGGGCACCTCATCGAGTCAATGGGAAAGTGAGTGGCCACCTTCACGTGGGCCACACACCCGTGCACTTCACCAACATGGACCTGCACGCTTACATCGTGGGCAATGACGGCAGAGCCTACACGGCCATCAGCCAGATCCCACAGCCTGCAGCTCAGGCCCTTCTTCCCCTTACACCCATTGGAGGCCTGTTTGGCTGGCTCTTCGCTTTAGAAAAACCAGGCTCGGAGAATGGATTCAGCATCACTGGTAAGTAGAGAATGTAGGAGGGCTGATACTCAGCATTGCTTCAGTGGTGTTGTTCCTTGGGCTTTATATACTGAAGGAGGCTAACTGTTTAATGAGAGCTCTGTTTTCTAGAGCCACAGGTGCATAGTTTTCTGTCTGAAGTAGGTAGAGAAGGCTTGGCCTTGCATGACTAACTTTAACTGTGTGATTTCTTCTAAATGTTCTCTAAGCTGTTCTGAGAAATAGGATTATATCATTTGCAGCATTTGTGTCCTCTTACCCAAACTTGTCAAAACTTATTGGTCAGGCTTTGCTTGAGTTGTTATGCGCAGGTCTGTCAAACAGTGATGCAAAGATGGTAATGGTAGGGCACCTGGAGGAGCTCTGGTAACACAGTGGTTAGCTTGGCTGCTACCCGGAAGATCAGTGGTTTGAACCCACCAGCCACTCCAAGGGGGAAAGATGTGGCAGTTTGCTTCCATAAAGATGACAGCCTTGGAAACACGATAGGGCAGTTCTACTCTGTCCTATAGGGTTGCTATGAGTCAGAATCTATTTGACACCAGTTTAATGGGAGACCATTTTACCTGATGGGGAGAAGGAGTGGCTTCCTCTTTTCCCACACTCATATTCCTCCTGCCTCTGGCCAATAATAGTATATATAGAACCACACCTCTCAGACAAACGGCACACGAATCACCTGGAGGTCTTGTTGAAATGCAGATTGGGATTCAGTAGGCCTGGGGTGGGGTCTGCGAATATGCGTTTCCAGCAAGCCCCCATGATGCTGCCAGTCCAAGGATCACTCTTTGATAGCAAGTGTGTATAGGATACTTTTTGTTTTCTCCAGCTTCCCATTGAAAAAGCTTGATTCCTAGTGGATTTATCTTTATTGCACATGAAATAAAATGCTGTGAGAAGAGTTCTTTCCCACCTGCAGCTGCAGTGCTCAATAGCTATTCATAGGATCTTGGCTTTAGTCAAGGTTTGATTGAAGTCTGGGTTCAAAAATAGTAGATAAAATATACCACATCCATTAAATATGCATTTCAGATAAACAGTGAATAATTTTTAGTATCGGTATCTCCCAAATATCACGAGGGATATAATTGTACTAAAAAGTTATTTGTTTTTATTTACAATCAAATTTAACTGGAATCATGTATCTTTCTTTTAACTAAGTATGGCAGCCTTATCTCTCATAGAAAACAAGATCCTACAAAGAGAAGCAGTGTGACTCAGGATGAAACCACACTCTTAAATAACATTTTTTGAAATTTTTGGAATCAGCAGCTTAGAGTGCTTAGTCTTGGGTATCAGATAATCTCTTGGGCACCATCTCTAACGATAGTAGAAGTTGGGAGGAGAAAATATGTACTGGTAATTATTTAAGCAAGGCCTCTTTTCATCCCTTTGTTCTGAATTTTTCTACTCTCCCAGGTGCTACCTTTACCCATGACATGGAAGTTACTTTCTACCCAGGAGAAGAGAGGGTTCGTATCACTCAGACTGCCGAGGGACTTGACCCAGAGAACTATCTGAGCATTAAGACCAGCATTCAAGGCCAGGTGCCTCACATCCCAGGAAATTTCACAGCCCACATAGCTCCCTATAAAGAGCTTTACCACTACTCTGACTCAGGTGCGTGTACCTAGTTTTTATCTGTAAAATCAGGATAATAATACCTCACAAGGCTGTTGTGTTAAACGAATTCATACATGGACTATCTTTAGAATGTATTATGTATGGCACATAATACAGGCCCAATATTGCTTTTATTATTATGATCAAATATACTATAAATGAGCAAGGTTTGGGCTACTATACACAATAATATCTATCTCCCTACCCAATTCTTTCAAACACTGGTAATAATCATAACATTGTTTATGGCGATGAGTAGGAATCATATAATTATATACACTGTTTAACCATCATGCTGTCTGGGGCGTGGAAAAATATTGATTACTGAATTTTATAATTGTCCTGTAACCTTGCTTCAGCTGCTGGCTTCAGCCTGTTTTAAAATCTCAGAAAGGATGTTGCACAGTGTTGTAAAATTAATGTTGGATTTGAAGTTAGAAAATAGGAATTTATATCCTGGATTTGCCATTTAAAATCTGTGGGAAAGATCACTTAACATCTGAAAACATCTTTAGAATGATAATAATAACACCTGCTCTGTCTCTCTTACATGGTTGATGATACGTAGAAAGTCTGATGCTTTCTATGAAACACCGCTTGAATGCAAGATACTGCCTCAAACACAGCTACTGTCTTGTACAGTGGTTTGGTTTGAATTGTGCCTTTCTTTCTTGCCCCTGCTTCTCCTACTGTGTGAGTGCTGGAAACCAGGGAGGAGAAGAAGGGAAGAGAATGGGAAACTGAGTCCTAGATTGTGCACAAAACAGTGGACAGGCATATAACTGAACTGGGCTCTGGACTCACAGACTCAGATTGAGAGAAAAGACCCTTTCCTTTCCCTGGAATTCTTCAGATTTAGTGAAAGGCAGCTATCACCTCTGTGTGATGCACAAGATGGATTGGTCAAAACTTGGGATATAGGGTTAGACTCACTTGAGTTCCAGCTCCACCACATACCAGCCTCACGACCTTAGAGTAGTTACTTGACCTCTGTCAGCCCCTGCCCACAGGATCGTAGTGCCTACTTCATGGAGTTGTTGTGAGGATTAAATGAGGCAATGCAGACAGAGCACTTGGTCTGGCTGACACATAGTATAGCACAGGCATACCTTGGAAACATTGTGAGTTTGATTCCAGAGCACCACAATAAAGCAAATACCACAATAAAGCAAGTCACACAATTTTTTGGTTTCCCAACACATACAAAAGTTATGTTTACACTATACTGTAACCTATTAAGTGTACAATAGTCTTATGAAATATTTGAAATGTGAGAATTGCCAAAATGTGACAGAGACATAAAGTGAGCACATCCTGCTGGAAAAGTGGCACCAACAGACTTGCCACCAACCTTCAATTTGTAGAAAATGCAGTATCTGTGAAGCATAATGAAGTGCAATAAAACAAGGTATACACCTGTAACATTTATTCTTTGTTTGTGATGACAGCAGCAATTGGTGTACTCCCTCCTCCCTCTCAGTACTTTGGCTTTGTACCCACTCAGGTCCTGTTGTTGTTATTGTTATGTACCATTGAGTCGGACCCGACTCATAGTGACCCCTCCTTGGGTTTCCGAGGCAGTATCACTA